CTCGAGACGTGAGCTTGGGACGCCAGTGACAAGACAATTGCGTAACAATATTTAAAATAATAACATTATACACAAAAAAACACAGGGTTTTGGATCACGTATTTATTACAAAAGAATATCCATACAACTACAATGAAAACAAACATAAGATTCACCTTTCTGATCATGAAATTAATACCATTAGTACTGTTATCGTAGCTACGTTCCTTGCCATCAAGTGAATCCAACATGTCGTCTTTCTTCATAAGTAGTTTGCATCCATTATAGTTATTTTCTTCAGTCTCACGGTAGTAACGTTGTTCAATAGATTGCATAGAGTATATGCAGTTTGGTTTCAGATTTCAGATTTTGCTTTTGACAACAAGTGAACGTTTTTCAACTAAGACATTGGCATACTTAGCATACAAGGTATTCAAGGCTTTCATGGCTTTAAAGCGTTCGCGACTCAATTCGTTCCAATAACATCTTTCAGTGTGGATTAGCCGCGATTAATACGACTTGTATATGCATGTGTAAGTATTTTGCGCGTTTGCGCCATAATGCTCCCGGAGATCGTAATCCAAATACGTTGAAATTTATAAGCAAGATCTTGTGTTCGTCATGTGACCCGGCCCTGTCTGTGCATGACAACGCCAATCATCGTCAAGATAACACGCGTGATCAGCATGTGAACACCTCATTGGATCACAGTTAGTTGTCATGGTGTTGAGGGATAACACGCGTGATCAGCATGTGAACACCTAACTGGATCACAGTTACCTATCATGGTGTTGAGGGCCCAATGACCTCTGGGTACTATTGCGCAATTTTTCCATTTTGTGGCGGAGGAAAAAAAAAAAAGAAAAAAAAAAGACGACAAAAAAGCAAAGGCATTTTATGACTGGGCTACCACAGGTATCCCAGTAATGAACGACCTTGCACGATCTAAAGATGCTATAAAAATTAAGATACACGCTTTTGTATTGATATTCTAGCTTTCGATCGGTCAGATTTGTAATCGGAAATGTAAGACAAGGAAATTCAAATGTGAAGTCTGGACTGGCAATTGAGTATGGGGGGAGGAGGTGGGAAGGTGGGGATGAGGGCCAAAAAAGTCAGTTTCACAGCTTATTCTTCACGCAGGCTGCAGTTATTGCAAATAATATTTGTATAGTTGAGCGGCATTCAAACTAATCTGAGAAAAAAAATGCATTTGAGAGGAGTATAATTTACCTACACTATAATTGCTTGCTGTCTGTGCATGTATTTGTACATGAAGCCATTCATCATACTGAACTCAACATCTACTTCAGTAGCTAGCATGTACTTATCGATACTTCCCATAATGTTAACACTGGAGTGCAATCCTTTAACACTTAATAATGTGACCATATAATCAATACGCATTAAACGCAGATTGAAGATTTTCTCGGAAACTTTGCATTTTGAGACAGATGATGTCTGCGGACATATATCCGTGCATATTTTCGCACTAAACGGAGGCTAGTGTTCATACAGTTATCTGTCACGCGTGACAATAGTTTCTTCAACAAATAAGTGTTCTTTAAATGTTCTCGTATTTGATGTAACCTTAGCAGCGGAGCTAGAAATGACAACAAAGGAATTTCCCGATAGTTTTTGTTTTCATAGGCCGCATTCCGCCTGATCAACTCGTGATCTCATTGTCTGGTATTAAACGCCCACAATTTTTTGCAAACCTTTTGATGTTTTTGTAAACCCTTTGATGAGGTTTACGGTCCCTCGCATTCTACAAATCTCCCTCGAATAGAGTTTACACGATTGATTACTCGCATCGTTTGCGCAAATTATGCAAGGGTTTTAATTATACGACGCGATCCAAGGTAACAAACAGACTTTTCGGTGAGAATTTTTCTATCACGTAACTAAACGTAGGATACCTTAATCACAAAATGAAGTCGATGTCAGTTCTCTGCATAATTTTTCAGAGAAATTTCGGCGCTTAAGGCCTTACACTGAAACCATTGCAAGCGAAGGGTAGCTTAAGGATGCTTCAACTTTAAGTGTAAGTAAAATATGACACGAATTTGGCATCGTGACGGTTTTACATAAGCTCCATCACTTGCTAATGGTAGACATTGCACCCTTAAATTGAAGTGTACCCATCAGCATCCTTGTCAAGGGCCTTCGAACGTGTATTTTGTTCTTATTTTTATCTTGACATGCATAAATATCCTACAGAATTCAAGCATTGCACTCAAGTATAGTTAAAAATATGGAACGAGTAGAACGAGGAATAAAGGAAATTCATATCATTTTTTTTTCCAACAGCTGTTAGTGGAATCGATTTCAAGCGTAGTGTGACAGATTGTGTCTATATCAGGAGAGAAGCTCAAAGCTTAAGGTAAGATGAACACTTTTAACTAACCATTGTAAAATAATTATGTGGAGACAATTACAAATCGCACAAGAAGAAACACACACTGTCAACAATTGTTGTCACAGCTTCCCAGTTCTTTAAACTCGGCAAGCTTATTGGTATGTATAAGCTATATAAATTTTACTAGTGCAGGTAAAATCTCAATTTCAAAGTAGCTTTTTTTTCTCTGATGTATAACGCAAACACGCTATAGAGTCAAATTTGATTTCGAGAATTGATGGAAGCGGAATTCGAAAGTAAAATGATCTGAAATGGAAAGACTTGAGAAATCTTCCTCAAGCTGAATTATTCTAGGAATCAATTTGTCTTCTTTACTGCATTGTTAAAAGTTATCGTGATTTTCTTGCACGATTTAAAGATGCAATATGGATTAGGATACAAGTGTTTGTCGTGATATATTTCTAGCTTGCAATCAGTCGGATTTTTAATTGGGAATGTGGCTATGGAGGGAGGGGTGGGGGGCCAAGAAAGTCAGTTTCACAGCTTACTCTTCATGTAGGCTGCAATTATTGCATTTAATATTTGTACAGCTAAACTGCATTCAAACTAATCTGAAAAAAGAAATATATTTGAATGCAGTATAATTTACCTACTTACTGTATGTGCATGTATTTGTACATGAAGCCATTCATTATACTGAACTCAACATTTTCTTCAATAACCAACATCTTATTAACACATCCCATAATATTAACACTGGAGTCCAATCCTCTAACACCCAAAAATGTGACCGTATAATCAATATGCATTTAAAAGCCAGATGGAAGATTTTCACCAGTTTATTAACCCTTAAAATCCTTAAGAGTGTCTGGCTTCTAGTTTCTCCTTACAGGATCACCCTTGAATCACGTGCAAATCACTTGTGAGAGTAATATAAATAATCAACAGTTTAAGAAGCTCTTGATTGTCAAACAAAATTCTCCTTGTCATTGCCACAGGAAATGTAGAGAGATCAGTGTGGAGAATATGAACACTAATGTTAGGGTGTAAAGGGTTAAGGGTTCTATTGTTATAATATTACTCCTGCCACTGCACAGTAGAAATGTTTTTGTTTCTGTAATTAAACTGCTTTATTTTTCACTAATTATTTTATAAACTGACAGTGTAATCGGACAGTTGACTGTATGGTCAAACCTTGATTATTCAGACTTGTAGAGACTTGAAATTAAGAGATCCTCGCAGCTAAGAACACTACTGAAACGAGAAGTTGTAAATTGGACCTGAAAAAAATTCAGGCCCGTACGTTGTAGAGACTTGTTGGCTTTATAGTCCAGTTAATCCAGAGTTTTGATAATCGAAAATATGAATATAAATGTTTGTAAATAATCCTTTCATTGAACTACTTTGATACACGTAATATTCCATGTACCTCCATGAAACTATTATAGTTATTGTAAACATGATGCTAGTGCTTCCTGTAAAATCAGGCAGAAAAATTACATTGTCCTGATGTTGATTGCAAAGGAAATTGTGGGTCTGGAGAATTGATATATTGATATATTACATGTGTTAATTGTATACTGTGCCAATTAACATGTTCTTCAGTATATACACTTAAAGTTTCAACTGAAATTTATTCAATTTATTTAATATATATTATATATGTATATATAGTTATAAAATATTATGTATGTATATATATATGATAGAACTCAATTGACAAAACTCCCTCCCCTCACCAATGCAGCACTGCAATTTCTATACAAACTTACCCACTTCATGAAATTATCGCTGCTTTTGTTTATTATGGAAAGAAATTTACCTACCATTCAGCTTCCCTCCTGGATGCTTTTTAGTCTTGGTGGCCAGTACTTTCTGAGGTAGAAATTTTTGTAGGGTAAGGAATTTTATGGTTTACCTGAAAACAAAACAATGTAATGGAATTGATAATTAGTCTTAATCATACTTAATTCTAATGTGTAATAAACAATTACCGTAAGTTGGATTGATTCAAGATCACAAACATATGTACTCAGCATGAGACTTAAATAAATATTAAAAATTAATAAAAGCCTTCACAAATTTTTCAGGTAATTTAACATAAACATTCATTATTTAACATTTTGCGATGAAATAGAATTACGTTCCCTGGTTCTCTCTTCTCTTGGTCAGCCAGAGGATCAGAAGTGGAGCCTAAGTATAATCAGTGATAGCATCCAAAACATTTCAATAACAGCAGACAATTTAATTAATGTTTTAAATAATTGAGTGCTCCAAGCACACCGGATCAGTGGTTGATAGCCTGCCCTGCATTCAAACACAAAATCCCTCCAGTTAGACTACAACCATTTTCCTTTTTTCTTTTATACCACAAAAAGTCTCTGCATTTTGGTTCTGCAATTTGTGCAGAATGGAAAAAAAACGAGTAGAAAAACTGATTTAAGTGTGCTGTGCAGAAGTTTAGATGTAAGGCGCCGAAAAAGTAGACTACCAGAGTTCAGCACGCTAAATTAAATGTTTTTTCACCGATTTTTTTTATGAGAGATTGCTCCATGCTTCAGGTAAAAACCTCATCACCTTAGTTGCTCTTCCCTGGTTGCCTAAAAATGTTTCACTATAAAAATCTCACATTCTTGGGATGAATTGATCTTTACTACAGCACATGGCATCAGCTGCTACACCAGCATCTCCTTCTACCAAGAAGACAACCAACTATGCCCGACTCTGTCGCCTTCTGGTGGATGTTGGATCCCAAGCCTTGAGAGACACTTTTGATACCATTCATCCTCCAAAAGGACTTCATACAGTTTTGGGGCGTCATCCAGAGCATGCAACACTAAAGTCTCTAAAGAGCAAGAGGGTCTTGAATGCAACGCAATGGGGGAAACTGTATCCAGCTATTCCTTCATCTGTTTCGTCAAAAGGGTTTGATATCACCCTACTGATGGTGTTACTGAGGAACATCTGTAAGTTGGCTCCTCCAAGCACTGGATGGGACAGTCTTCCCCCGTCTACAGATTTCAGTAAGCAGGCCAACATCGCTAGGCTGAAATACTACCGTAATACTGTGTATGGCCATGCCAGCCAAGCCTCTGTGGACGATGTTGCATTCAACAACTACTGGCAGGAGATTAGCAATGCCATAGTGGGACTGGTAGGAGCAGGTTATGGAGCTGCTATCAGTAACCTTCAGAATGAGTGTATGGACCCTGATACTGAAGAACACTACAGCCAGCTGCTGAAACAGTGGAAGAATGATGAAGACAATGTTAAAGAAAAGCTCCAAGAAATTGAAGGTGCATATAATACGTAGCGAAGAATGTAACCTTAATCAAGCAAAAGGTGTCGGGAGGAATGACAAAATCAGCCTTGGACATTTAGGTTTTGATTGGTGTAGTTATGTTTCAGTCACGACTTTTTAATGTTACCCACTGGTAATCTACAGTGGCCATATTCCACATTGGCCAAGAATACTCGGGCAAATCGTCATCTGATCAAAAGCAAAAATAAAACCAATCAAGATACAATGGTAAACAGACAGGTGCTGAAGATTAAGAAAAATAATCCCTAGAGGGATTTATCGCTTGGTGAAATCACAGATTCTCAAAAACAGGTTTAGATAAAGAAAAAAATTTTGTCTAGAGAAAGAGATATTCTGATTCCACATGAGGAATCGAACCTCAGACCTTCGGATTCCGCGCTGCACTGCTGTACTACTGAGCCACAGAGACGCTATGGTGAGCTAGGCCCATTACGCAGTTCCTATATGACACGCGTCCTGCATGCTACTAAGATCAGCAATGTCGATAGCAGCCTCTTTTTAAATAGAATAAGAAAGATCGTAAATTTTGAGTTCGGCTAAAGAAATAGAGAAGAATGTTTTTTATCTTGTCACGAGCGTGGGAAAAACAAAACAAAACAAAAAAAGCTAAAGAGAGAAAAAAAAAACACTAGATAGTTACCAATGAGATCAAGGGAGTGAAAGGGTTTATGAATGTTATGTTAAAAAAGGTAAGACTTTGCTGCAGGAAAACTAACGTGGTTTTTCACTCTCAGCCAGCACATGGAACATTAAAAAAGATCTTAATCAGCTGAGATGTGAAGTAGGAAATATTGTGGAAAAATTGGATACGATGATGGCTCGACAACAGGAAACAAAGGATCGAGGTAAGTTTAGGATGAAACTCCATCTCTCTCGCCTAACCTCTGATCAAAAACTAAATTATGTTTTTGCGTGAGATTTATCAATCTTTAGCACATATCTTTGTTAGCTTTTAACGCTTGTTTGCGCGTTATTTGTACCTGAGAAGACATTTAATCCTTTCAAAGAGGATTTAGACCCAATTTCGAAGGGAAGTTCTAACTTACGAAACCGTAAAAATGTTGTTACCCTCAGATAAAGTGACGAACGACTTTGACTGGATGAGAACTGAAGTTGGAAATCTACGTGACAAGCTGGACACTTTAATGGCACTTCAACATGAAGCACAAGATCAGGGTGAATTCTTAATGCAATTTATTACGTCACTTTTGCAATTAAAATTAACCTTTTAAAATTGAGAAGTATGGGAGGTGCTTTAAAATTTTCTAACCTATCAACCGTCAAAGCACAGTGAGGTGCATATCGCTGTATGCGGTTTGATCATTTTAATGGTTAATGAAAATGTACCACAACCCCTCCCCCCCCCAAAAAGAAAAACAACAGCAAGAAACAATAAAAACGAAAAAAAGGTATTAATGGTTCTAATTCTCCCAAATAAATTAAAAGGAATGAATGAAGGTTTTTTGGTTTTCCATTGTTGGTTGTTTCATATACGCATGAAATACGAATAAAAACTTGTTTCAGCTAATTCTTTTAAAGTAAAGGGAAAAAGAAACCTGGACTTATTTCAGACAAATATGTGTTTTGAAATTTAGAAAAAATGACAAATGACATTGATCAGATGAAAAGTGAAATTGGAAACATACAAGACAAGTTGTCAAGTTTAATGATGGCCCGAAAAGAGGAAACACAGCATCAAGGTTAGTCCCTACAGCAGCTATGAATTCAAGGGCGATTCATCTATTGAAATGCGGAGCTTTGGGATAGTTAATATTAAGAGGGTGTTCACTGTAAGAATGTTTCATTTTTTGAGTGAGCAACGTGAAAACAGATTAAACCTATATAACCTCGTAGAACGAAACATAAAGGCCCGGTCATTTACACAAAGTTTGGCCGTTGTTTAACAAAACCACATCCTAAACTATCTTCAATTTAGCCGAACCTTTTGTCTGAAAAGTCATTTTTGTGAAAAGTGTCAAGAGAGCCTAAAGCTAACTGCGGAAGGACATTAATTTACTTAAATCAACCCTCTTCTAGGGAATGCCTAAGGCTCATTGTGTAAAACCGTGGTTTGGGTTAGACCTCGTTTAAATAACCGACTCAAAGTTTGTAAATTAACGTGGCTCACACTGCAAATAATGAATTAGCCAAATATACTGACACAATTTGGCATACGATCGCACCTGAAAGTTACTTTTAATCTCTTCTATACCCTCTTGGGTAGTGTATATCTAAGGGTTACTTTTAATCTCTTCTATACCCTCTTGGTTAGTGTATACCTGAGAGTTACTTTTAATCTCTTCTATACCCTCCTGAGTAGTGTATATCTATGGGTTACTTTTAATCTCTTCTATACCCTCTTGGGTAGTGTATACCTGAGGATTCCTTTTAATCTCTACTAAACCTTCTTGGGTAGTGTATACCTGAGGGTTACGTTTAATCTCTTCTATGCCCTCCTGGGTAGTGTATACCTGAGGGTTACTTTTAATCTCTTCTATACCCTCCTGGGTAGTGTATATCTAAGGGTTACTTTTAATCTCTTCTATACCCTCTTGGGTAGTGTATACCTGAGGGTTCCTTTTAATATCTACTATACCCTCTTAAGTAGTATATACCTTAGGGTCACTTTTATCCCTTTTATAACCTCTTGGGTAGTGTATACCTAAGAGTTGCTTGTATCTCTTTTATACCCTCTTGGGTAGAGTATACCTGAAGATTACTCTTAATCTCTTATATACCCTTCTGGGAAGTGTATACCTAAGAGTTACTTTTATCGCTTCTATACCCTCTTGGATAGAGTATAACTGAGGGTTACTTTTATCTCCTCTATACCCTCTTGAGTACTGTATACCTGAGGGTTACTTTTAATCTCTTCTATACCCTCCTGGGTAGTGTATATCTGAGGATTACTTTTAATCTCTTCTATACCCTTCTGGGAAATGTATACCTAAGGGTAGCTTTTTCACTTCTATACCGTCTTGGGTAGAGTATACCTGAGGGTTACTTTTATCTCTTCTATACTCTCTTGGGTAGTGTATACCTGAGGGTTACTTTTACTCTTTTATACCCTCTTGAGTAGTGTATACCTGAGGGTTACTTTTAATGTCTTCTATACCCTACTGGGTAGTGTATACCTGAGGGTTACTTTTAATCTCTTCTATACCCTCTTGGGTAGTGTATATCTAAGGGTTACTTTTGATCTCTTCTATACCCTCTTGGGTAGTGTATATCTGAAGGTTACATTTAATCTCTTCTATACCCTCTTCGGTAGTGTATACCTGAGGGTTACTTTTATCTCCTCTATACCCTCTTGGGTAGTGTATACCTGAGGGTTATTTTAATCTCTTGCATACCCTGTTGTAAAGTGTATACCTGAGGATTGATTTTTAATCTCTTCTATACCCTCTTTGGTAGTGTATACCTGAGGGTTATTTTTAATCTCTTCTATACCCTCTTGGGTAGTGTATAACTGAGGGTTACTTTTAATCTCTTCTGTACCCTCTTGGGTAGTGTATACCTGAGGGTTACTTTTATCTCTTCTATACCCTCTTAGGTAGTGTATACCTCAGGGTTATTTTAATCTCTTGCATACCCTCTTGTGAAGTGTATAACTGAGGATTAATTTTTAATCTCTTCTATACCCTCTTGGATAGTGTATACATAAGGGTTATTTTTATGCTCTTCTTTACCCTCCTTGCACGGCAGTCACGATATTCATATTCGTAGATGTGGATTTGCTTACATCAAACTAAAATGCACTAACGTTGTTTTAGAGAAACGTGAAGCCTAGCTTCTCCCCTGTTTTAGTCAATTTTGGCAAGAGTGTTGTCTTCAACTATCAAGAATAGTTGCAATGTGCCGAAGCATGTAGACGGAACAGGTAGACCATCAGTTGAAAGCGATGTGTATTCTCTTGATTATCTTATCATCACAGTTTCTGGTCTTCAAAAGTTCAAAACCGTTACCTGTATAAAGGAGGTTTGTCTGAGTTAGCCTTAAATAGGTCTAGGCCTTCGATCATAGAGGTAAAATCAGCTTTACCAGTGCCAGGCAATTTTTGAGTTTCTTCTTTTTATATGTTTTAAATTGTTCCTGTTATATGTTGCTCTAACATTTGGCCAGGACTATTTGTGGACCTTGATTATGATAGGCAAACTGTCCGATCAAAAATTTTGCGATTTGGCCTGAAAAAGTACGCAGAGAGA